GTGCACTTGGTATAAACCAAGCCCCCCCCCCAAAAAAAAACACCTGATAAACACCTGATCAGTATTTTTTATTTTCTCAGCCAATCAATGAGTGGGCTGCTGATTCTGCAGTTGAAGAAGGCGGGCATTTAAAGGGACTGTCTCCTTTCCCCCTCCTTTGGGAACAATGGAGGATGGGGCACCTCCTTTTGGGACCCATAGAGTTGGACTTTCTGGTCAAATCTTTTGGAGACTTGGGGATTTTTTTGCGGAGAGGCACCAGCAGCTATGCTGCAAATTTAGTGCCTCTACCTTAAAAAACAACCTGCCCAGAGCTCCAGATACTCTGGATCGATTCTCCATTATAGCCTTTGGGGACCATTGACTAAAATGGTTCCCATAGGGTATAATGGGGCTGAAAAAAGTTGGCAGTCCTGATTATTTCCAGAATCCCAATACCATACTGATATTGAGATTCAGGAATATAGGGAAATACTGATATTTTGGGGGTTCAATACACCCAAACCCAAAAACTACCAATTTTTTTCTTGCACATCCCAAGATCTGACTAAGGAATTGCACACCCATTCCTGAGCAGTGCCTGACTGGTGGTTTGGCTTCTTGCTTGGATGCTATTGGAGACTGTCTTTATTCCAGCAGCAGCTGGGGAATTACAGGGATTCTCCTTAGAAAATGCCAAGAATGAAGATGCTGAAGGAAACTTGGGAGATGGAGATGGTACACAGAGCCAGACAACAAGCCATGCAGGTAAGAGGAGGGATAAGCCCATTCCTTTCCAAGGAGGGGATTTCCATGAAATCCCAATTCAAGAAGAAAGGTCAATCAAAACAAGAAGGGGGAAAAGGCCTGCATGAGAACCAGAGAATCCACTCCAGGGAAAAAGGGAAATAAAAGTGTGTCCTTTGCAAAAACCTGCAGTCAGAGAATGAACATAATTTCACAGACGCCAATTTCCTTTGGAGAGAAACCCCTTGGAGTGCGGAAAGAGCTTCAGTGGGAAAGCAGTCCTTACTTTGTGTGGTGGAACAGTCCTTCTCTGACCTGCAGGCCCTGTTCCACCCTGTCCTCTCAGGTTTCCCCAACATCTGGAGGGAATCTTAGTTGTCAAAGATAAGGCAGGCTCCTTAGCTTAAAAAGTTACAGATTTTTGCAGGAGTTCCATTAACTTCGGCCCTCTTCCCTAAGTGTAGGCCAGCACCTGGCAATGTCTGCAGACCTTACAGAAAAGACACCCACAGGTTATTGCAACCAAATGGCTAATATGAATGTCAACTGTGTTCAATATCCTCTGGGGCATTGTTAAGTCCGCGGATCTCATGTACAAAACCTCAATCTTAAATCAGTCTTAAAGTTTCATTGTGGCTACAATTGATGACATGCTGATATGTAATGGAGTTTTTCTAGTATTAATCCTATTTCCAGCCTGAGCCCGCCGATAGTGGATGTACCGCTGAATGCACTTTACCACAGTCGTATCGCCATCATTATGTTAATGGTTTTAATAACTTATTGTGTATTTTATACTGATATTTATATTGTTGTTTTATTGATGGTTTTCATGTACGCCGCCCTGAGCCTGCTTCAGTGGGGAGGGCAGGGTAAAAATCAAATTAATAAATAATAGTAGGATCCAAATACTTGAAGAAATCAGCTGAACGTTCCTTTGTTGTAGTTCCAATGATAATCATAAGAATCCACCACCCATATGCTTGTCTAAAGTGGAATCTAAAGCACTGAGAGATTTGGCGAGATATTATAGTCATATTATCAAACCTGCTGACAAGGGTGGTACCGTGGTTATACAGAATAAAGATGATTATTGCATGGAGGTTAACTGCCAGTTAGTAGACAGGGATACTTACCAGTAGATTATGATCCCGCTAAACAAATAGCTAGGTTAATAATGATGGTCTTAGAGGAAGCTGAATCCATGGGGTTCATTGATAATAATACGTGTCTCTATTTGAAATAATTTTGATGTATAAATGATTGTGGAGCCTGGCCTCTTTGGGGCCTGGGATCACTAGCCAATGTTGTGCCCAAGACCGTAGTGTACTCTGGGGTATGTGTGGAGAAAGGTGGTCCCTTAGGTATGTCGAACCCTGGCCATAAAGTGCTTTAAAGGTAAGTACCAGCACCTTGTAGCGGATTCGGTATGCTATTGGCAGCCAGTGCAGTGCATTCAGCGCAGGTCGGATGTGTTCCCATTTAGGTGGTGTGTGTCTGTGAGGCAAATATTTATGGAATTGGTGAGATTGTGAGTGAATTTCGATTGTTGAGAGTTTTTGGCCTGAATAATGAACATTGACTTGTAAAGTAAATATAAGGATGCCTAATGATCATTGTTTTTTATATGTACTCTATGAATTGTTAAGTTCATTTTAATATTGTAGTTTGGAATTACTATCCTGACCGTGAAGAAACCTGAGGGTGAAACAGGCCCTCCAAGTTGACTGCTCGTCACTGGGACTGTTGATGGTTCAAGCATCTGGATGGTGGATTCTTATTTATTTATAATTGGAAATACAACAAAGGATCGTCCTGCTGATTTGTTCAAACATTTGGATCCTACTTGAGAATTTCCGTTACTCATCGACATGTAATTGATTGTGGCCGCAATGAAGCTTTGAGCAGCTGTTGAAACTTACTAAGGACGTTAATATGCATTGTGATTGGAATGTAATGATTTAAGATTGAGGTTTTGTATATGAGATTTGTGGATTTGATAATGCTTTAGAGGATATTGAATACATTTGAAATTCATATTAGTAATTTGGTTGCAATAACCTGTGGGTGCTTTTTCTATAACCTTTTTCGCGACCTTCTCTCATTTTTTGTCTCCACCAGACCTTAGTCAATTTTATTTATTTGTTTATTTATTTAATTAGATTTCTATCCCGTCCTCCCTGCGAACAGGCTCAGGGCGGCTTACATTTAGCGGCACTATGTGCCGAGATACATTAAACATATAAAACCAGCTGAAAACAAGATAAAACAATCATATTATTACAATTAAAGTGCTTATAGAATTGATCTTCCAATCGCGTTAAAGATGGCATCCTGTAGATGGACACAAGTCCCAATTCAGCCGTATCTGCCTCGTACGTTACTGCGGTTCGGTCTCCATATAGGGCCAACCAACTACCCCGGTGTTACTAACAATAATAGTTGGTGGTAGTGGTGGGCGGCTCCTAATTGAAAGCCTGGTGGAAGAGCTCCGTCTTGCAGGCCCTGTGGAACTGCACAAGGTCCCGCAGGGCCCTGATCTCCTCCAGGAGCTCATTCCACCAGATAGGAGCCGTCACCGAAAAGGTCCTAGCCCTGGTAGTGGTGAGCCTGGACTCTTTGGGGCCTGGGATCACTAGTCGATGTTGTGCCCAAGACCGTAGTGTACTCTGGGGTATGTGTGGAGAAAGGTGGTCCCTTAGGTATGTCGGACCCTGGCCATAAAGTGCTTTAAAGGTAAGTACCAGCACCTTGAAGCGGATTCGGTATGCTATTGGCAGTCAGTGCAGTGCATTCAGTGCAGGTCGGATGTGTTCCAATTTAGGGAGACCCATCAAAAGCCTGGCTGCTACATTCTGCACTAGCTGCAGCTTCTGGATTTGCGACAAGGGCATCCCCATGTTGAGAGCATTACAGTAGTCTAATCTCGAGGTGACCATCGCATGGGTCACTGTAGCCAGATCATCACGGTCGAGGAAGGGAACCAGCTGCCGAATGAGCCAGAGGTGGTAAAAGGCCAACTTAGCAGTTGCTGCCACCAGGGCCTCCATAGTTAAGGAGGGATCCAGGAGCACTCCCAGACTCCTCACCACAGGCGCTGGCACCAATGGTGCCCTGTCGAAGGTTGGGAGAGGGAACCCCATCCCCAAACCACCCTGACTCAGGCACAGGATCTTCGTCTTCACCGGGTTAAGTTTCAGCTGGCTCAGTCTGAGCCAACCAGCCACGGCTTGCAATGCCCGGTTCAGATTGTCCAGGCTGGAGTCCGACTGGCCGCCCAACATCAGATAGAGCTGTGTGTCATCTGTGTACTGGTGACACCCCAGCCCATACCTTTGAACAATCTTGGCAAGGGGGCGCATATAGATGTTAAACAATAACGGTCAAGAGCTCTCTCTCACTCAGTGGAATGAGCACTAAAGAGCCCCATCTCCTTTCTCCCAGGAGTCTTATCGTCTCTCTTTCCCCTCCCACTGATTAGGTCAGGCTGGGTCAAAGAAGTTTTTCCTGAAGCCTCCAGGAGTTTCTTCCTGAATCCTTTCTAGTCTTTATTCCTCCAGATCTCTGTTCCCTGCTTGGGGGTGGGGGGAAAGAACTTGACTATCCCATTGTCTTGCCTGCTCTCTGCCAAGAGGGGAAAATCTTTTAAACTCAGAATGAAAGTTTTTGCTCTAAGAAGTCACACAGGTGGGTAGCCATAGAAATGGTCAGAGTCCTAAACAAGGATCTCTGATGCAGGAGGTTTCATGTACTTTGAAAGTGTATATTATTGCCAGGGGTCATTTCCTGTGGGAGCGCACAGGAGCGGAGCTCCGGTAGTAAGGAGCCCAGGCAGCTGGCACATGCAACAAGCCCTGCCCCATGCTCCCAACAGCCCTCAGTTGGGCCACGAGGAGCAAGAAGCAGCCAGGTAAGTTGCAGAGCCCCCCCCCCCCGGCCTGCCTCCAGGTACAAGCTCTCCCTCCTCTGTGAGGGCAGATCTGCGTGTTCCCCCCCCCCCCATAGCTAGCAATCCAAAACAGTCCAGTGGAGCCTGAGTGGTGGGTATTGCCTTCTGACACACTTCCGGTGATGTTAGGGGGTGTGGCATATGCAAATAAGTTATGCTAATGAGTTATGCTAATGAGCTCCTGTGAAATGACCCCTGATTATTGCACACTTCACTGTACAGCAGGAAGAAGCCACTAAAACATTTGGCATGTGGATGGAACTTCAAGTACAGATGAGACCTCCTTGCATGAGTTTCAAAAGGATCCGTCTCTTTATTCCAACAGGGGATGATCAGTGGAATGAGGAGGATGAGGAACTGCATGCTCTATCGCCAGATGAAATCCAGAATGAAAACTTGAGGGGAAACTTCAGGAATCAAGGAAGACCTATGAGGCAGAAAGGAAGCCACCTGGTCAAGAAGAGGGGAGAACTCATTCCTTGCCAAGGGGGGGATTTCCAAGAAGTCGTTCACATGGTGGCAGAAACAGACAAGGGCTTGGAGTGCAGAAGGAATGTCTCAGATCAAACCCAATGTACTGCCCATTTACAAATGTACAGTGGAAAGAAGACTCATCAATTCTTGGAGTATGGAAATACCATGATTCACAGAGGAGAGCTCAGTAGACATCAAAGAACACGTACTGGAGAAGAATCTTATAGGTGTTCAGACTGTGGCAAGAGCTACTCAGAGAAATCAGACCTTGTTCAGCACCAAAGGATTCACTCAGGAGAAAAGCGATTTATCTGCTCAGAGATTGGAATGGCATTCCCTGTTGGAAGAAAGTGTCATGTACACTCCCCAAAGCACAGTATAATGAAGGCACATAAATGCTCAGAGTGTGGCAAGAGATTCAGTCACAATGGTAATTTCCAACAGCATCTACAAACCCACAAAAAGGAGAAATCTTTTGAATGCTCAGAGTGTGGGAAGCGATTCAGTTGGAGTTGCCGTTTGCAACAGCATCAAAGAACCCACACAGGAGAGAAGCCCTTTGAATGTTCCGAGTGTGAGAAGACATTCAGTCAGAGGGGCAGTCTTCAAGAGCATCAACGAACCCACACAGGGGAGAAGCCCTTTGAATGCTCAGAGTGTGGGAAGAGATTCAGTGTCAGTGGCAATCTTCTACGGCATCAACGAACCCACACAGGGGAGAAGCCCTTTGAATGCTCAGTGTGTGGGAAGACATTCACTCAGAGGGGTAGTCTTCGACAGCATCAAAGAACCCACACAGGGGAGAAGCCCTTTGAATGCTCAGAGTGTGGGAAGAGATTCAGTCAGAGTGGTCACTTTCGAAAGCATAAAAGAACCCACACAATGGAGAAGCCTTTTTAAAGCTCTGTGTGTGCAGAGAGATTCAGTCAGAGTGGTACTCTTCAGCAGCATCGAAGAACCCACTTTTGTTGTTCAATTGCACAGTCGAGTCTGACTCTTCATGACCCCATGGACTACCTCACGCCAGGTCCTCCTGTCCTCCACTCCCCTCCAGAACCTGCTCAACTCCATGCTCGTCGCATCAATAACACTGTCTAGCCATCTCATCCTTTGTCGTCCCTCTCTTCTTTTACCTTCAATCTTTCCCAGCATCAGGGTCTTCTCCAATGAGTGCTCCCTTCTCATTTGGTGGCCAAAGTATTTGAGCTTCAGCTTCCATATCTGTCCTTCCAGGGAACAGTCAGGTTTAATTTCCTTTAGGATTGACTGATTTGATCTCCTTGCAGTCCAAGGGACTCTCAAGAGTCTTCTCCAGCAACATATTTCAAACGCATCTGTTCTTCGGCTCTCGGTCTTTCTTATGGTCCAACTCCCACAGCCACACATTACTACTGGGAATACCATTGCTTTGACTATATGGACTGTTGTTGATAGGGTGTTGTCTCTACTTTTTATTATGCTGTCTAGGTTTGCCATGGCTTTCCTCGTAAGGAGCAGGCGTATTTTAATTTCATGGCTGCAGTCACCATCTGCAGTGATCTTGGATCCCAGGAACATGAAGTTCCATGACTTCCACTTCTATTTGCCAAGGAGTGATGGGGCCAGATGCCATGATCTAATTTTTTTTTTGATGTTGAGTTTCAAGCCAACTTTTGCGCTCTCCTCTTTTATTTTCGGCAAGAGGCTCTTTAGGTCCTTTTCACTTTCTGCCATTAGAGTGGTAGATTGTGATTCATGCAGGCCGGCATTTCGCATGATGTACTCTGCATATAAATTAAATAAGCAGGGTGACAATATACATCTTTGTCATACTCCTTTTCAGTCGTTCCATGTCCGGTTCTTTTCCCCCCCCTTCAAATAATTTTTATTAGTTTTTAACAAACATACAGACTAACAAACAAACACACATACATGAGAGTGGTAGTAACAACATCATATCTCTTAGATCGCCTCTTGCATATAGATTAATTTTCTCACCATATGGACCATTATTAAATACCTTCTAACCGTGCCAAATAAAAGCCAAATAATATCGGCTTGTATTTGGGCGTGGTTATTTTACTTGCTGAATCAGATCATTTAATCTGTATTCGGCTGAATAAATACTCGAAAAATATCAATAAGGCATTTTTCAGGTATTTATTTGGCTCAGTATATAGAGGGTCAGCCAGGCAAGGTTCAGTTCTGCTTTTCTTGTCCAGCAGCTTAATGCTCCCCTTCTGCATTTAAAGACTGCATGTTAATGTGGTTCGGTTACCACAAGCAAAGCAGGAAAAAGGGGAAAAACCAACAAAAATATCAGAAAGCAGATTTCCAAGAATCATATGTGAAAACATTAGGCTGGATCTGACTATATAAGCCTGATACTGTAGCATTGTCAACCTCCAGGTGGTGGCTGGAGATATCCTGGGATGACAACTGATATCCAGGTAACAATAATCAGTTCCCCTGGAGAAAGTGGCTGCTTTGGAGCGTGTACTCTAAGACGTACCTCAATGAGGTCCATCCCTTCCCCAAATCCTGCCCTCCTCAGTCTGCACCCCCCAAATCTCCTGGTATCTCCCAACCTGGAACTGGTAACCCTACGTGTCTGGCCGTGGACTTTCTCAGCCCCTCCTACTTGATAACTGATGCTGGGGATTGAATCTGAAAACTTCTTCATGGAAAGGAGCTGCTGGCTCACTGTCATTGCTCCACCCTGTGAGGTAGGAGGATATGAAGCTGCCTGTTTTAACCTGGCACTTTGTGCCTCTGTTAGCCGCCCTGAGCCTTCGGGATAGGGCGGGATATAAATGTAAATATAAATAAATAAATAAATAAATATAAATAATATTGCATCACACCATGGGTGCCTCTAAGTCCATATTGTCTCCTCTGACTTGTGGTGGCTTTCCAGGGTCCCCAGGCAGAGATCTTTCCCAGTACTAACTGGCTGAGATCCTTTAACTGGAGATGCTGGGGATTAACCCTGGGGCCTATCTGCAGACAAAGCAAATGCTCAGCCACTGAGCCACGGGCCTTCCCCTGTGGCACTCAGAATTATGATCCAAAAATCGAGATGTAGAAGCAGAGGGAGAGAACCTATGAACAAATCTTCTACTGACTTTAGCTGTTGGGCCCTCAAGCATGGTCTCTCTACCTGAAATCCTTTAACTAGATGTTAGATACGAGACTCGAGGCAGCAGGTGAACAGTGATAACAGCTTTATTGAACACGAAGTCAGAAGAAGCAGAACAAGACAAACTATGGAGCAACAGGCTCCTTTTTAAACAGTCCGGGCTTGGCAAGCCACGCCCACATGTCAGATAAGGTCCAATCAAATACAGTACCTAAAGACCAATCACTTTGCTTCCCTCCAGAACTTCCTTTGTTCAGATAGGTTGGTTTACAATACCTTGGTCAGGCTCAAGCTCAATACATTCATTACATTACATTTCATACACAACACTAGACATGTCAGGGATCAAACTTGTGACCTGCCTCCAAAGCAGATAATTCGGTCAGTGAGCTATGTTTAAAAAAATGAAAAACATTACAATACTTCAATCTGATCAGATATCTATTTTCAGGAGCTGCATACATTCATCAGTTGGGCTCATAAGGAATTTTTTATGTACCAGCAAATATACATGTAATTTAGCCCGATCACATGGTCCCCCGAGTCTCCGTGCTTCGGCTGTTAGCTGGTGATCACACAGTGATGCTGCAGCGTGGCAAAGAAGTGGTGCGGTGTGATCACGCAAGCATTTTGCATTTGTGCGCATGCACAGTTCTGCGAAGCAGCACTGCTTTCAGTTTCGTGTTTGTGCGCATTCGCTTATGAAAAACATCTGGTTTGCGACGGGATGTGGACGGGTGCCAGATGCCACGAGATACTAGCACTCCCGCGATCAGACGCCTGCCTGTGCCACGCGTTTTTTTGGATACTAGTGCACTGTCCTTGGTACTTTTTAACTCCACATCTTCAGCAGGTCGCCACGGGTTGGCCATGGGTGCACTACGCTCCCCAGATGTTGTGGTGTGATTGCGCCCCAAATGCATTTGTTATGGGGACCAGAAAGTGGAGGTTGAGAATCCAGTTAATGTTTCTCGATCCATGCAATATTACCTTATTCCAAAAACATTCTCTCCTCAAGATGGAGCACCTTAGGTGGGTAGAGGTAATATTTCCTCATGATCTAGCAAAGTAGTAAAAGGCTGCTTCCCCCTTCCTCCACCCTTGTTTTAGTGGTTATACATTTTGGACAGAAGCTAGAACTCCCAGTTCAGGCACTGGGTTGCTATAATTATTATTGTGTTGGTGGAAGATGTAATAGCCCTTTGTAAAAGGTACTTTCTTCTGACAAAGGGAGTCTCAAAGCAGCTTACAATCGCTTTCCCTTCCTCTCCCCACAACAGACACCCTGTGAGGTAAGTGAGGCTGAGAGAGCTCTGAGAGAACAGTGTCCAGCCAAAGGTCACCCAGCAGTCTTCATGTGGAGGAGGAGTGGGGAATCAAACCCCATTCTCCAAATTAGAGACCATCACTCTTAACCACTACACCACATGGGCTCTTAGATTTATAGCAAATGCCATACCCAAAAACAAAGTTTGAGTCCAATGGCACCTTTAAGACCAACAATGTTTTATTCAAGGTATGAACTTTCATGTGCAACCACACTTCCTCGCAAAACAGACTGAAACACAGTTTCCTTGGGGGGGGGAGTCAAAGCCAAGTTGCGTAAGTAAAGCTGAGACCGAATCAAGATGGCCAGTAAGATCAATGAATGGCAGCAAATTAGCACGCAAGTGTCACACCCAGTCTTTCTCCCCAGTGGGGACCCAAAGCTGCATTGTTCTCCTGGCCTCCATTTTACCTTCACTAAAACCCTCTGAGGTAGGTCTGACTGGGAGTGCCACCCAGCAGCCTTCTATGGTGGACTGGGATCTAGGTATTAGAGACATATGGCAGGTTGCTTAAAAGCTCTCGTGTTACATGTTGCCTGTAATGAAGATAACCTGGTTCAAGGTGTTCCAGTTCCTTTTTATTCTTGGCACTGCAACTTCTGTCATCATTCTGGGGTTGGGGACCAGTTTTGAAGCGTGTACCATTATTTTCTGATGAGTTATGCTTGCCACACACTGAGACCCTTAACTTCCCTTGCAAATAGCTTGGGGGGGGGTTCTCCCCTTGGCCACACCTTTCAGTTTTAGCCCTGGGGCTCCTACAATCATCCTGAGGCTGATGGCCAATTTTGAGTCTTCTCTGATGAGTTATGCTCGCCATAAATGGACAGATCAGTCAAACAGGCTGATTATTTCTATACATTCATGGTAACAGCAAGTGATTTGCTATGTTTGGATCAGGGTCATATGGAGGGCCCCCAAAATGGAGTCTGTAAGGTTCCTTATGTTGTTACCCACTCTGGCATTAAAATCCGCAGCTAAGACTATATCCCCCATGGGGACATAACAGGACCACCTGTTCCAAAAGAGCAAACATTCTGTCCCACTGTTTGGCTAGTAAAGGTAAAGGTTCCTTTGCTTGAAAGCCAGTCGAATCCGACTCTAGGGTTGCTGTGCTCATTTCCGTTTCAAAGCCGAAGAGGCAGCGCTGCCCGAAGACGTTTCCGTGGTCATGTGGCCGGCATGACTAAACACCAAGGCGCATGGAACGCCTTCCCACCGAAGTGGTACCTATTTATCTACTTGCAATTTCTTGCTTTCGAACTGCTAGGTTGGCAGGAGCTGGAACTAGAGACGGGAGCTCACTCTGTCATGCGGCACCCGGGTCTCGAACTGCTGAACTACTGACCTTCCACAGCCTGCAGTTCAGCGTCTTAACCACTTGAGCCACCACAGCCACTGTTTGGCTAGGTTTGCTCTAATCTGCATAGGAGGCATATAGACATTTACTATTATAAGAGAGGCTCCACTGCAGGTGAGTCGGACTGCCAGT